AAACCCTATCATCAAAACCCTTAAAAACACCTTTAACTAATTCATCATTAATTCATCAAATCTCTTAGTTTTATTCCACTTGAAGCTTTCCTTAAGCTTCTATATCACTCCATGCCTCAACACCAACTTAAAAACGAAACGAATCGTCAACTTGAAACAAACTCACCTTATCAAAGGAGTCACGGGAAGAGAAGAAGTAGAGAAATAAACCAAGCCTCCAGAAAATTCTTTTCCCTTTCTTTTAACCTTAATAAGCTTAAGATATCTTTTAATATGAATTTTAAATTCATATCTTGCTAAAAGAACTATTTGCCCTTCCATTATTACATCTTTGCTAACAAGTCCTTAACACAAATTTCTAAAATTAGTCATTGAACGTTGCAACTTATTCTAATTAAACCACTAAATTTTAAATTCCTACATTTTAATCACTGACCCGATGTTTGGGGTGTTACATGAATTTTTTAAATTTTTTGAAAGGTATTTTTTAGCATCGAAATTGAGCATGGTATTCTTACGAGACAAAATTCAATGTGGACAAAATACAATGTGGACTTTCCGAATTTGACATGTTCCTTCAAAGTCAGGTAAAAGGGGTTACAACGCGTTTCTCATGCTCGGTAACACTATGTCCATCCGTGTTAGAACCTAAAAATTTAAAACACTATATTAATAACCAAAACAACTTGTATGCTAACTATAAGAATTTACGGTTTCAAGGTTAGATTATGTTACATGTAAACTTAGTCGAATAAACAAGATTTATATGAACAAGATAAGATGAATCCTAGTCTTTTGGTTAGTGATCGGGAGAGATCGGGTCACATTCACAAACAATTAATCAGAAATAAGACAATTTTTAAATAACAATTACAATAGAAAAGTCTAAATAATTAATATGTATGGTAAATGGAAGTTTTCATGTTAGAATTTAACAAAACAGACGACAACTAGACCCCTTTGTCTCCCATTCTCCTTAGAGAGCAAACCAGAGCAAGAACCCCTCTCATCTATCATATATTGACACCGGAGAAGGACCACATGACCCCTAAAAGACTCTTCTAAACCCCGAAACCCAAAAAATGCTCTTTGTAACCCATAAGCTTTGAAAACCTCATCCTTTAAACCCCAAATAACTAAACTTAAACCCTAAATGCAAATATGTAAGGGTTACTTTCGATTCTTTGAATGTTTTGCTTGTCTCGATGATGAAGATGAAAGCTTATCCCTTTCGAAACATGTATGATTTTCTTTTAAGTTTTTTCCTTTTGTGGGTTTTTGGGTATTACTTGAATATTAAAAAAAATCTGTCCCCTTTGCGCTTTTTTCTTTCGTTTATATAACCATCATTTGATGAATGAAAAAAGGCCCTCTTTTAACTTTTGTTTTGTCTTTAGCCTTGCATGTGAGACAAGGGGAAGGAGGTGCCTTTCCCTGTTGATCTTGCCCATCGTGGCTCGATCGAAGGCTCAAATCTTTCAACAAAATACCTTTGACATTTTTTAGCGAGGAGGCCCTAATTCCTCGTTGTCATTGTGTCAGAGGAGGCCTTGGTAGTGCGCACAACGGTGTATGTGCTACTGGTAACCAAGGTGGTTTGGAGAGAGCGAGTGAATTGATGTAGTGATCAGACGAAGTTCGTCGTGGCTATGAAGATCATCAAATGGTGCATGGAGGGAGATAGTATCAAATTACGGTTGCGGATTTTTTTGCGGACATTACGTAACGAGTTGCGGTAGTCGAGGGCTTGATCTCTTCCTCAAAAATCACAATACGTCTAAAATATTATATTTATACATTTTACAGTTATCTTTTAATATACTAATATTAATATACTCTTTTAATATTTTATTTTGAAAATTTAATTTCATAGATAAAAAATTATTAAAAACAAATATAAACCATAGAAGTGCTATTATATTGGATAATGGGTAATAACAATTATAATGTTAATGAATAACATATAAACAATATCACTAAAATCATATCAATTTTTTTTTATATTGTAACATAAAAATGTTCATTTTACATAACTTTAAAAGAAAAAAAAATACATAACTACAAATATAAAAATTATATATCTTACAGTTTACCACCAAAATAAATAATTTAATTAATTCAAATATAAATAACTAATTTTAAACATAACTATTACGATATTATTAATGATATATATTTATAATCCAATTTTAAGAATTAAAATTATAATAATTTATCTATGTAATTTTATATTTCAGATAACTTAAAGTTTGTTGCGGCGTTGCGACGCAATTTATAGCGTGTTGTGGTGTTATTAACGGTTTTTTACTGCAACAATTATGATGCGGTTCTCTTATTGTATTACGCCGATATTGCATCGCGGTAACTTAAAAAAACGTTACGATGTTTGGCCGTAATTTAGTACAATGTGGAGGAAGCTTGATCGACTGTGCGTATATCAAACGCGGGGCAAATTAATGGTCACTCCTTTTAGATGGATCTGAACCGTTGGATTGTTTGTTGGATCCAACTGCTATGACATGTTGGCGGTGCTTCCGTTAGGGTTTCACTCAAACTATAATCTTGATGATGGAGACCATGTACTGTTAGATCACAGAACCTAGATCTAACGATCAAGATGAAATTTTCATATCTCTTTTGACGGCATTGATTTGCTTAGGTTCTTAGGGTTTCTGCTTATATCTTTAATTTGGGTCGTTTGGGCATTGGGTCTTATTCAATTCTTGAGCTTGTTGGGTTGAACATGTAACATGGATATAAACGAGTATCATTGTTTATTTCTAATTTAACATATATATATATATATATATATATATATATATTAACATAATAACCATTTATTAAATTAGAGCTGGATCAAGACTCAGATTAGGGATGTCAACAGGTTCGATTAGAGTTGGGTTTTTGATCAACTCGACCCGACCTAAAAATATACATCCTCCACATGAACTCGATCCTATTCGAAAAAATATATATTATTCACTCGACTCCGACATGACCCAAATTTTTAATGTATAAATCCGATAAAATATACCCTTATGCACACTCGATAAGTAAATTAAAGATGTGACTCAGATTAGGGTTTCTAATTTAACTTGACAAGGTGAAGCGATGGAAAGTTGCTTTCGTTGAAATCGGCAAATTAAAAGGGTGGCATATAAAAGGGGCAAATTCGATAAGTAACTATATACCCTTATGCACATTTCATCATTCTTATATTTCACTTGTCCTTCTTTTGACTATCAATTTTTTTGGAATTTATTTTTCAGATTTGATACTGAATATATTAAAGATGTGGTTCAGTATGTCATAAGAAAGTTGAATAGCAAGTCTAGAAGTGTTTCCGAAGAAATAGGTGGAATAGATGATAAAAAAAGAGATGATTTTGCAGTTGATCAAGCAAGAGGACAGTCGAGTAATAGGACTTTGAGGAATGGGTGGTACCGAAGCTGTCTATAATGAAATCTCTTCGACCTTTTAACGTCATTATAACTTCCTCCAAGATATTAAAGAGAAAATAAAAACCGGCAAAAAGAATCTTTACGAAATGAACTTCTTTCCTAACTATTAAAGTTGAAAATTTGAATAGACACCCCCTCTATAGTATCCACTTTAACCCAACAGAGGCTCAAAAATACCAAAGTACTTGTTGTTCTTGATGATGTTAATGACTCGGACCAAATAGATGTTATGGGTGTTAAACATTTTTGTGATGGATGTAAAATCATTGTAACATCCAAAGATAGACAAGTGCTTAAGAATTGAGGAGCCGACAAAATACATGAGGTAAACAAGTTAAATGAGAAGGACTCTCTTTCACTCTTTTCTACATTTGCATTTAAGCTTTTGAACACTGCTCCTGGTTTTCGAGATCTATCGAACAAGTTTTTGGAGTATGCCCAACTCCACTCTTAAAGTCTTGGGTTCTAAATTATATACGAAGTCCAGAAAAGAGTGGTAAAGTGAGGTGGATAGATTAAAGCAATATACCCAACCAAAAATTTCAAATATTTTAAAGAGTAGTTTTGATGGATCGAATGAATTAAAAAAGAATGTATTTATTGACATAGCATGCTTCTTTAAAGGGTAATCCAGGAAAGAGTGAAGAAATTTTAAGTTGCTTGTTGTTGGAATAGTTAGATGCACGTGAGTTGTTAAGGTGTTAGAGGTGTTGTTAAGGTGATTAGCTGAGCAGTTAAAGTTAGGTATACAGTTAGATTAGCTGTGAAGTTGCTATAAAACCAGTGTACTTGTAGTTCATAAAAGTGAAGAAAGAAATTCATTACTCTTCCATTTCTTCTATGTTTGATTCAGTTTTCCAATGTGGTATCTTTCGCTAAAACTCTTGGGGCAGTTTTCTTTTTTCTCGCTGCGTAGAGTTTCTTTTCTGCCTAAAGTTGTTGTTCTTTTGATGTTTGCCATGTTGAATGGTGGTTCTGCTTCGTTGGTGAAATTCTCTGCAAGAAATGCCAAAGCATTCTCTAATAAAAAGGTGAATGTAGTTCTTGATGAGATAAATTTTCTTCTTTGGAATCAGCAAGTTCTGCTGACGGTGCGCAGTCATCGTCTTGAAAGGTTCTTGACTGGTACGATGAGGTCTCCGCCTGAAACAGTGGTCAATGATGATGGTGAAATCATACCGAATGATTTTTATAAGGATTTTGTGGCTCAAGACAGTGCTCTTGTATCCTGGTTACTTTCCACAATCAGTTCTTAACTCCTGTCTCAGTTTGTGGGTATAGAAACAACATTGGCGGTTTGGAGTACGGTGTTCCAATTCTTTGGAAATCAATCCACGACGACTGCTATTAGCTTGAACTATAAGTTGCAGTTTCTCAAGAAAGGTGATGATTCGATGAGGGTGTATCTTACTCGTGTAAAAGAGGCTTGTGATGCCTTGGCATCGTGTGGCAGCATGGTTTCACAGGCTGAGCATGTTGCTAGCATATTGAAGGGTCTTCCTCGTGAGTATCAATCGTTTGTGGCTGTTATAACTACCACACGAGAATCTCTTACTCTTGATGCAATATACACCATGCTAATGGATGTAGAAACGCAACTAGCTGGCTTTGGTGATCAACTTAATTTGTTTCCTATGAGTGCGAATGTTGCCCTAAGTACGGGTTCGAGCAAATCCACTAACTCTAGTTACCACTATGATCATAAGTCTTCTAGATCGTCGGATAATTCTTGTAGGTTGATTTCTGGTCATACAATGTTCATCGGAAAGTGTCTTGTGATCTGGAGCTCGAGGAAGTAGAATATTGTTTCGAGGTTGACCATGGAAGCATAATATCGAAGTGTCGCAAATGCAGCGGTTGAAGTAACCTGGGTTAGTGCGTTGCTAGCTAATTTGGGTGTAAAGCAATGTGAAGAGCCAGCTATATGGTGTGATAATACCTGCTCCATTGCCATGAGTGTGAATCCGATTTACCATGCTCAGTCTAAACACGTGGATATGGATGCTCACTTTATTAGAGAAAAGGTTGATGCTAAAGTGTTACGTGTCAGCTAAGTTATGGCCAACTGTCAGGTTGCAGACGGTCTCACAAAGCCTCTGACTAAAGTTGCATTTAAAGTATTCAGGGACAAGGTTTGTGTGTTACCTTGTTAACACAGGAGGAAGAAGTAGTGGAAATGTTGGAAGAGTTAGATGCACGTGAGTTGTTAAGGTGTTAGAGGTGTTGTTAAGACAGTTAGCTGAGCAGTTAGAGTTAGGTATACGGTTAGATTAGCTATGAAGCTGCTGTAAAACCAGTGTACTTGTAGTTCAGAAAAGTGAAGAAAGAAATTCATTACTGTTCCATTTATTTTATGTTTGATTCAGTTTTCCAATACTTGTATGTGGGGGCTGTGTGCGCAATAAGCAACTTGCTTGATGAATACCTACTTGAGGTCACACCCTTGAAAGAAATTTCTATGCATGAATGCTTGAAGAGATGGGTAAGGATATTGTTCGTCAAGAATCTATAGATCCTGAAAAACGCAGTAGGTTATGGAGTCTCAAAGACGTGAATCAAGTACTCAAATATCATAAAGTACGCGTTAATTGTATTCATATTTGTTTTTTGTATATATTTGTGTGATTTTAATTAGAATGTATGCTAGATATATTATCAATGCAAAAATCATTTAAGTTTATGTATGAAATATTGACCCTTTTACTTATTATTTCAGAAAATATTTTTTCACTTATCATACATATAATAACCAATGTTTTATGGTTTAGTTAAATATCTAATTCATTGCTCATAAAAAGCATACATTCTTTATTGTCTATAAAAAGGTGCGAGCAGTTAGTCTAAGCCATTCCTAATTTAAATACATTTTCAATGATTAATTTACTGACGAATTTATGGAATGCTCATAAATTGTTTTTAGTTTGTTGTTAGGTAAATAAATCAATTGAAGGAATAAAACTACACATTACTCTAATGGAACATGCTTAATCTTAGATTTATGCATCTCTATGCTTGGCTTTTGTCGGAGAATGAGAGGCTACTTGTAGACAGAGTTGATAGTATATCTCTTCCTGATGGGTTAAGGTATCTTTGTTGGGAGGATTACCCCTTCAAATCTTTATCACCGAGTTTCAATCCAAAAAATCTTATTGTGTTGAAATTATGATTTGGTCGAACAGAACAACGTTGTTATATGACTGAAAAAGCTTCACTAAAAACCTGTTTTGCTGTAGTGAACTTTGGAATGAAGATGATCAGGTGTTTTATTTTTTTTACTTTTTTATATGATTCAAAATAAATAGATAGTGAACTTTGGAATGAAGATGATCAGGTATTTTATTTTTTACTTTTTTATATGATTCAAAATAAATAGATAATGTTATGAAAACACTCTCAGGGTTCCCACGATGTCTGTGGTGCTTGGATGCAGATGAGTGCACGCCATTAGAAAAAGTATCGCTCACCGATCATAATTTCAATTCATTCCCTTCTTCACTTGATTGACGATGATGCATGAGAAGAAAAAGTTTTCATGTCATTCTCGAATTGCAGAAGCTTGAATCAAGATTCAGTTAAAAACATTGGTGCAAATGCCATGCTTCAAATTCAACTCCTAGCACAGAGATGGGCAAGAGGAAAGGGATATCTATAGAGGAGCATAGAAAGGATTCTTTTCAAAATCAATTGTTTTGTTGTTTCCCAGGAAATGAAATTCCAACAACCGAGTTTGAGGATCGAAGCATAAATTATCGGTTACATTTGAAGATGGTCCCAAATGGGTGCAGTGGGAGAAGATTCTTGGCTTTTGCAATCTGCCTTGTGACTGATCTCAAACTTGCAAATCGATACATAGAATTTATATGTGAATACCAACTGACAGCCGCCGGTGGTGAAAAGTTCACAAGCAAGTGCCACGTTCCCTAGATTTGGAAAGCAATATACAAGTACAAGGGTGATCATGTGTTCATTCTGTTCAGTGATAATATGATTATAATGGACAATGATTATGAGGAGGCATCATTTGAATTCTACATCAAAAATAGTTACCGTAAGGAAGAAGTTAAAGTGAAGAAATGGGGTGTTCATGTATTTTACGTGGATGTAGAGAGTTATAACATTAGAGATGTGATAAATCCAACCAGAGTATTGATTTTGCTGCAGAAATGAGACACGGTGACAAAAGAAGATTTGGCAATGATGGTGAAGAAGGGGTGGAGGGCCTAAAAGATTGAAATACTTTCACTTATTTTAATCTTTGGGTATGCTCTTGCTACTTCTCAATTATGTAATCCAAATGCATAGCTAAATTTCCAACTTGAACATTAATCTTCTGTTTGTGATTCTAGTTAGGGTAATTTTGTACATTAAAAAAGATGGACATTTGTTAGAGTTAAGGGTTGAATTTCTTTATAGAATTATAGTTTGTGATGGTTGCTTATCATGTTTTGTCATCTTCATTCCCCTGTTGTGTCTGTCTTTTTTTGTAGGTATATAATAGATTGTCCAAGTCGGAAATTGGATGGCAACTGGAGTTGACTGAAATTGCAGGGCAGGGTAAGTTCAGTTAAGAAATCTCTTCTATTTATTGTTGGTGATAAATGTAAATTATACAATGTATTGAATGACTTAAAGGTGCGCCTATTGTCAAAATATAGATGCAGTTGTCAGAAAATGAAACATATAATGGAGATGTCTGTCATGCTTATATGCGCACGCGCGTGTGTGTGTGTATATATATATATAATGTGAAAATAGGAGCTCATTTCATATATCAGCCAACTCGATAAGCACCAATGGATACAGTCTGCATACGTCGTTCTGACGGGCTGCTGTCCAGTGGTTATCAACTACCCCTGCCTCATGGTATAAATCAATGTATACACATCTTTTCGATACTTGGAGAGTGTCGTAACCTCGAGGAAGATGACCGGAAGCTTCATGGACTTAGTCGCATTTGCCCACAGTTGGTGCTGACATTTGGTAGCTTGAGCATGTTTGCCACCGGAAGCGTTTCCTTAGCACATTGGATCTGAATTGTTCCAACCTGAACTCCTGTTTCTAAGGCAGAAGCTAAGTACATCATTCGAACAATGAGATGACAGATTATGTAATAAAAGTTTAGGATCAACATTTTCCTCAATCCACATGGCCCATGTCTCCAAATGCTCTATAAAGGAATGAGAAAACATAAAAAGCATCCATCACAAGCTATGATTTCTATAAAGAAATTCAACCCTTAACTCTTTAACAAATCTCTCTTTTTATTGTACTATTATCAAAAGCAATTAAAAATAAATGAAAACACCTTACCCACGCATTTGGATGACATTATTGAGGTGTTGCATATAAAAGAAGTGAAACTATTTCAATGTTTTAGGCCCTCCATCAGCTTCTTCACCAAAATTCTGGTTGGATTAGTCGCATCATATCACATCACTAATGGTATAACTCTCTGCTTCCATGTGAAATATAAAAGAAGTAAAAAGCAAAGGATTAAATTCTTCAAAAATAAAAGTATGAGGATTGAATTTCGAATATACAATAAATACAAGGACTCAAAGTACATTTTAACCTAAGATAAAATAATAAGTAAAAAGAAAGAAAGAAAGAATGATTAGTCCATGCTGATCGTCCACCACTCGACTCTCAATATCCAGAGGTCGATATAGAATGGGAGAAGAGAAGGTGAAAGAAGAGGCAATGCGGCTTATTGGGATCTTCTAGCTTCTTCCCCGTTTGGTCGTATTCGATCTTGATTACACTCTCTGGCCTTTCTACTGGTTTCTTCTCTTTTCTTTCTTTATATGATTTGTGTTTCCAAATGAGAATACCCACAAAATATTTGTCTTTATTCTTTTCATTTCATTGATTTGATCTTAGCTTTGTATATGTTTCTGAGGTTAACAATGTACAATGGTTATACTTGTTGAGATGATTATTAAATTCTATCTGGGTGTTTTTAGTGAAACAGGATTAATTTTCATGATTCTGCTTTCAATTATTCATTTCATCAGTCTATGATTTATCACGAATTACTGATGCTTAGACCATCGAAACAAAGACGAATTTATAATATTTTAGGTTACGAAAAATAAACTATCAGCAGAAAACACAAAGAAAATACCTGAGGCGCGACCACCCGCCAAGTCCAACCCCCCTTGCATCGAAATAAACTTTAGTGGCTGTGACCTTAGCTTATGTGCACTTGCTCTGTATTTCCCAACCCATACATAGGGATGGGCATGGGTCGGGTTTTTGGTCCACCCGACCCTACCCGAGAACAAGGAGTCCTCCACTCGAGACTCGATCCTACCAAAACAAGTTTTCACCTGACCCGACCCGATATATAACTTAAAAACCCGACCCGAAATAAAAAAATATTTTTATTCAATAAAAATAGTGATTTAATTGAAAAAAATAATATATAAAAGAGTATTATTATAATTATTCCTAAATATATAAGGTAAAATTATATATTTTTTTGGGTTGGATTAGGTCGGATTTTTTTACCCTAAACCCGAACACGACCTGAACCTGAATTTAAATAAAAAAACCGGATCAGAATCCGTCGGGTTCGGGTCTCATGCACATCCCCACGTACATGAAATGATATGATAATTTATGTTGGCTTTTTTATTGTTCTAGGGCTTGGCATATTTTTCTGCTAACAGTGTAAGTTCATGTGGTTCATTTTTCAGCGAGTGTCGCTCCAAACTTGAAATGCCATCTTTGTACCCCCCATGCTAAAGGCATATTATCTGCACTCAAGGACAAGGGGATTAACTTAGCAATCGCATCTAGATCTCCGACCCCGGATATAGCAAATGCGTTCCTTAACAAATTGAGCGTCGATTCTATGTTTGTTACAAAGGTGAGCCTGTTAGAACCATTCATGGATGCCTTTCTTGGCCTGTATTAGAGCTTGTTTAGAACAAGTTGTTCGTATGCAAAGTTGGTATTTTGCTGTTTGTTGGACACTTGGTTTTAGGTTTATTTTTCAACACAATTTTAATAGAAAAGACAGATAGTTCATGGTAATCGAAGGTTGATCATTTTAGGTTCAATCATTCAGGAATTTTTTTTCCAGCTGGAAGAACAAGACGGATCATTTCCAGAAAAATCATTCAAAGACTGGGATCCCCTTCAATTCAATGCTCTTTTTTTTTGACGATATGAGCATAGGAACATACAAGCTGTAAGAATGGTTTTTCCTACATTCTCTTGTTGCCTCCTATTTTTTGACTTAGTCAATTGCTTCGTATTTCATGGCATTGGGTATTTGGATCTTTACCTTTATACATTGTGGTTGTAAGAACCTTCTCTACCATTTCTATATCTTGGTTTATGTTGCTGGACATCTTCATTTTTTCCGATCAAGCACTTGTGTTTGAAGCTTATTAGGAAAGGTGTATGAGGTACGATCCTCTGGTTCTATGTAAAGCATATTCGTGTTAAGGCACATACTTATCCCATGATCACTTTTGAGTCTAGAGTCACATAGATTATGGATATCGAGGAAATGCTGCTTGAATTACGTTCTTATTTCATTTACTATTATCTGTAATAATAATGGCAGGTTTCAAAGATGGGAGTGACGAGCATATGTGTTGATAATGGGGTTAGTCTGGGAGCATTGAGACAAGGGCTGACAAAATTTGCTGAAAATCTAAAATGCATCAGGGAAGAAGAAGCGGAAATAAGGTAAAAAAGAACTACTCTCAAAACCCGAAATTCATCTGAGAAGAACCGAAAATGAGTTATCTTACATGCTAGTCCTTGGTTTTAGAAATTCAACAAGGTTATATTGCATTTGTGAATTCTAGTTTAGATAAGTTGGAACAAGGTTATATTGCTGCCATTAGTCCTCTTGCTCTTGCTGTCAAAAGTGGGCATATACAAATACACGCTATTAGTAAATGTTGAACTTCATAGTTATACATTACTTGACCTTATACTTAGGCGTATATATCTCAAAGCTACAACCAGCTTATGCCTTATTTTGGAGCACCAAATGAGACTTCATTTGCAATCCTGGCTCCCCTTTCTTTTGCCATGTAAAGTCCTACATGATGCATGAATTCCTGCAACAACAAAAACAGCATCACTCGAGTGATTTTTGGTTTACATCGATTCATATCTAGTCAGGATAAATCTGGCCCCTTCTACAGTTTCTATCTAAAGCTTTACCAAACTAAAAATCCCAAGAACATGAATGTGATTACCTGAGGATGAGGCAAAACCCCTTTGGTGTTTCTGGCAATCTGAAGGGGAACGTCAAAGGTTGCGCAAGCACGTGAATAGACAATAACATCCTTGAGAGGAGCCAGGAATCCTCGATTCCTTGCCGATAACGTTGAACACACGAAATCCAGCACGCATATATCAGTGCACACCCCGACTACCAGTATCTGTGACCATCAAAATCATGGTTTAAATAACTCATCATATCCACAGCTGAAAACATGGGTGCAATTGAAATCCCACTAGATTTCTCTGTAATGAGTTCTTACAGCCTTAATCTGATTGTTCTTCACCCAGTCCACGAAAACATTCGAACCATCAGCTTCCATGGAACCCAAATATCCATCGTAGCAATCTTTCCGCCTGATTGTCACGTTTGTTTCGTTTTCTATCCATCGCAAAGCTGGCATTTTTTTTAGATTTTGATTTAGAAGTTCATTACATAAATTTAAGGGTAAACTACCTATTTGGTAATCCACTATTATTTTGATAATCTACTATTATTCTTTTTCAAAATTCACAACAAATATTATGTTTTAATTTTATTTTGGTTAACTATCGTTAAAATATTAATGGTAATGGTGATGCTATGTATTATAAGACTGAAAAATTAAAATATTATGATGTCATTATCACCATTAATTTTTAACTACGAATAATCAATACAAAATAAAAACGTAAAGCTAGGATGATTTTGAAAAAATTATAGTTGAATAATCAAAATAGAAATTAAGCATATATCTTGTATGCATGCATGTATGATGTGTCTTGTATGCATGTATGTAATCTTGTAGATATGTATGTATGCACCTGGAACCAAATTTGATTCAGGGGTGCCGGCAATACAGTGAGGAGGATAAGGATCCTCGGGCTTGTCAGGCTGATGAGAATCCAGAAACGCCATAACCGGCAATTTCTTGTCGCAGAAAAGTCTTGCCAGTCTTGCCGATTCGTTGATCATCCCCCGAAATTTGCCTGTTGGGTTCTCTCGGGGCCTAAAACCCAAAATATTAGACTGCTATAAAATCCCCCAAAACAAAAAGTAAAGTTTAAGAGAGAGGTTTACCAGGTTTCCGGCACCGACAGTGCAGAAGCCATTGATGACGTCGACAAGCACAAGACCAGTAACAACATCTTCAGGAAAAAGCACAAATTCCTGATCCAGAGGCAGCTCCTCCTTCAAAAGCTCAATTGTTTGGGACACCATTTGCACAGGCAGCTATAGCAGTGAATTTTCAGAGGAGGATTGTGATATTTAAAGCAGAGTCTCAATTATTGATGCATTTGGGATAAGAGGTGCGGATCCGTCCAAAAATAAGTTTCAAACTCCACTTTGGAAAATGAAAATGGCATTTTTAGTGACGTACAGACGTTGAATATTCGGGTCATGGTTAATCACCTTCATTCAACGATTTAAAACTTCAAGCCATCAACCAACAAATGTTGGAATATCCTTTATTAAGCCCTGTTTAATGAAGACATAGAAGGTGCTGATGAATTAACTACTCTAAATTTCTACAAGTTACTGCGAGTTGTACAAACTTTTATCTGGTCATAGCTTCTTAAATAATTTCTTAATTTATTTTTTAAGGTGCGTAAAATTTAATTCAAGAAAGTTATTATTTTTTTAGTTTGATTCAATATTAATAATTTCGATTTGGATTGCTTCAATTTTTTTTAAATAATTTAATTATTTATTAATTAGTGAATTGTTTTCAAGTTTAAGTTTGAGTGTTTCAATTTTGTATAATATATGTATATCACATATAAAAATAAATAAATAAATATATCGTATATGGTTATAAAAAATCGTTTAAATTTGAATTAATTAGTATCTTAATAATATAAATATTTATAATTAAATTTAGTCTTAATATAAAAATATGTGGTCAAATTATACCCAAAATTAACTTTAGGTGTCTAAAGAATTTTCGTTAAAAATAAGTGTAAAGTTTCTAACATTACCATTTTAGGTATCCGAATCATAATCATCGTTAAAAAATTCGTCAAGTGACACACTGATAATTTTAGGATTGTTTATTTAAAATAAAAAAACATAAAATGTAATTTAAAAAACCCTCAAATTCTTCTTAAATCTTAAAGAATCCCAATAAAAAATCTTAATTTTAATCCCTGTACTCATATCGACCGCCATCCTTTGATGTCGTTGTTTCCATCAATTGGACCTAAGCCTAACTACAACTCTACCTGACAACCAACACTTGACGAACAACCATCGAAGAACTTCAAATCATGATTTAAACCTGATGACATCAAAGGAAAAACACGACCTTTGCACGACTCTACAAGGCCCAATGGTACAATTGACAATAAGAAAGGCAACGGCAAAAAAAAGGGAGAAATAAGGGTTAGGGCCGAGATTTCGGGGATTTCTTTTTTGTAATTTTAGATAAGCTAGGAGTTTTTATAAATATAATAAGTTATTTAACGGTGTATCATTAACGGAATTATTTAACGGCGGTTACGGTTCGAACACCTAAAATGATAACATTTTTAATATTATATGTTTATTTTTAACGAAATATTCTTTAAACCCCTAAAGTTAATTTGAACATTTATATTAACATTAAATTTTAAATTTAAATAAAAATTCAAATAATTCAATTCGATTTGACTTAAAACTATTTATGATGAAATTTAAATTATAAAACAAGAATGATCAATTAAAAAACTCAAAATTTTATAAGATGACCCTAACAAATATTCACCCATAATACTTCAAAAACTTATTCACAATTTTTACCTAATACATATTTGGATAGGGTTATCTTAAAAAGAAGTAAGACAACCGTAACTCCACAGCTGACGTTTTTTGTAACCCCCTCAGACCGATGCGGATAGCCCGATCCGATCTGGAGTGTCACATTAGGGCCACCGGAGTGACCCACTGTAAAAATAGCAGAAAATTTAAAACTTTTCTTAAAACATGTAAAATCATAAATGATTTATTATTATTCAGAAATAAAATAGGTTTTTCAAACTCAAATATAAAACAAAATACAATTCACATGCCCCCTAATCACATGTACCATTCTCTGCAAGCAACGCCGGAAGAACTACCTTACTGATGTTGATAGCTGCACTGGTATAATTCTTTTAACCTGCAATGTTGAGTAATAGAGTGAGCTTCGGAAAGCTCAGTAATACAGAACTACCAGATGATGCTACATGACATGTAGATAAATGGAAAGCCATATATTTTCCTTATTGAATCATACGTATACCAGTTTGCAGAATAATTTGGGGTTCCCTTAGAAGTTCATCGAGTAGAAGCCATGAATCTCAGTTCATAAGGAACATTTCAAAGTATGACATTTTCAAGAGATCGAATAGGATGTCTAGTGTGTTCCAACAGTATAATAAAATCATAATAGGTACACTTATCAAATGATAGTTCAATAAATCTCATAAAATCATAATGAAATTTAACTTTTGGAAATCATAGTTTAAACTCTTTTCTTGTACACCATCAGTAATTTCCAAAACTATTTTCCATATAGCTTACTCTAAGCACACAGCAAAAAGAAAGCCAACCTAAGGATAAGCTTTATAGCTTGTATCCTTAAGCCCGTAAGTCCAAGTCCATATAGCTTACCCTAAGCACACAGCAAGGGAAGCCAACCTAATGTATCTTGGGGCCCCAAGAGTCTCATTAGGCCCATTCTGTTTATTAGCTTGATCAGAGCTATACTATTGTAATTCAATCTAAAAGTTCAATTGCACCCTGACATAAATTCCATAAATCATCACATTAAATTGGTGCATCAATAAAATAGTAACCAAAGAACTCAATGTACCTCATATTAAAACCAATAAAATAGTTCAGTAATAATTAGGGAACACACTAGAGGATCCAAGTATTTTTCAGAGGCATTTTGATCGGATTCTAAGAACAAGGTCCTATTGGAGAGAATCGATTATTAACCGATCTAATCAGACATTTAAAGTTGATACTTTAGAATTTCACTATGATTCATGTGCATCAGGAAAGCGTTCCAGAATGCCCAGAGTGATTTGAGCTAATAAAGGAGAAACGAAGCTTCAAGACATTTACAATCCATGTTAATCGATCGGTTTATCGAACAATTCGAACTGAACAAGTTCTCTGAACTAATGCATGTTGACCCGTCAATTTATTGCCTTTTCAGAGTATTTACTCTTTAATACCAAAATTCTTGTCCATAAATCATCTTCGTAATCATCGCTGAATAGATCTTCCAATAGTCTTTATTTCATTTCCATATTTCAACGATATCAGGAAATACATACGTACTTGATTCATGTTTTATGACCCATAAGGATAATTCATCATGTAAGTTCAACAGTGTTCCCAAACTCATCAAATCACCTATTTAATCCTCAGTCATTGAGGTTACTCAGTTCGTTTATCAGTCAAGTCTATCCCGATTACTTCAGAG